GCGCCCCTGCGCACCGCGGGGGAACGGACTCAAAGTCCCGCACTCCCGGGGAAAGGGGGCGAAGCCCATCCGGCTGCGGAGCCAGCAGCCGCTGAGGGGGAGACACAGGATGGTGGGGGACATCTCAGGCACCGTCCAAGTCTCCATCCGCTCGGTCTTGGGGCCCCAGGGCCCCCCCAGCTCTGGTGCCGATTGGAGGCCCGCAGACTCTGACACCGCGCCGATAGGGCGCCCCCGGCTCCCTCCCCTCCCCCGGGCCCCTCGGGGCCCCTCGCCCGCCGCCGCTGCCCAGGCCTCCCCGAGGGGAGCAGCGGGAACCTGCGCGGGCCCCGTGGCCAGCCCGGGCCTTTCGGGAGCCCGGGGCTCCGGTGCTTGCTGCGATGCGGGTGAGGGAAGGACGAGCGTGGGCCTTCTGTGGATCTTGGGGTGACCGGGTCCAGCCCCACCATCACGGCCCTGCTGTGCTCGTTCTGAACTCTCATCCCCCACCGCGGGTGGAGAGACTTCCCCAAGCACAGGGCCCAGAGTCCACCCGGAGACCAGCAGAAGTGTCCTTTCTGTTGCTTTTTCGTCTCAAATGTTATGTCTTACAACGTCAGGATGTATGCGTTCAGTGGTCTGGTATATAATTTATCAGTTTATCATTTATATATAAATTACATAATGTGGTTATATAAGATATAATTTATAATTCATCTCTATTCTGTGAGCGCACTTAAATGCTGCCTTCTCTCTCTCTCTTTGCCAAAAACGGAGTCTAATCAGAAAAGTTCAGAGAGGGATGTCCAGAAGGTAGAATGGAGCCAGCTTTTCACTTTCTGGCTTTGTCTGTGGGCTTCATCCTCCATGGCTTCCCCCTTTACTCCCCTTTCCTCTTGCCACCACGGCTGACAGCCTCAGGTGCCCTCAGAACACCTGTAATTTCAGACACCCTGATTCCTGCCTCGAGTTGCCCAGTATTTGCTATTCCTGCTCTGCAGGTGCCCTTCGTGGCCCCTAGGCCACGGTAGGCCTATCTCTGGCTCAGCTGTCTTGTCTGGGAGCCCTAGAGCTGGAGGCCCAGGCGCGATCAGAGATCAGATCCTCATTTCAAGTCTTAACCTCACCACTAGAGGGGAGATCTTGGGTTCCTGAGGCTAATCAGTCTCTACAAGGTCAGGGCTGCTGACCCCACTAATCATCTTGAGCCTCCTAATCCATCTCTGAGGCTTGAGAGCTGGCAGGGGCCATCTCCTAGCCCCTCTGCAGGCCGGGCCTGAGGGGATGGGGCAGCTCAACCATGTGTACCACCCTCTTCCTGCTCAGCACCTTGGCCATGCTCTGGCGCCGCCGATTTGCCAACCGGGTGGAACCGTGAGAAACTGCCTGTGCTATGGATTGGGAATTGGCGGGGGGGGGGGGGGAGGAGAGGGGATCAGGTTGGGCATGAAGATGGGCAAGCTGAAGATGGGTAGGGGCAGACTGGACCCCGGCTGGGCTGGTGGTTGAAGGAAAACCTGAGAGGTTCACTCTCAAAGTGTGTGTGTGGAGGGGGGGCACTAGACGGCAGCCTCCAGGCTCCACACTTCATGTGGCTCTACCCTGGGAGGACTCAGCCCTGCCCACAGCTCTTCCCACCTGCTCTTTCCTCCCACAGAGAGCCCAGCCGAGCGGACGGAGCAGTTATGGGCAGTAGCTCGGATACAGACCTCCAGTCCTCATCCTTGGGCAGGTGAAGGAGGAGAGAGAGTCAGGGGTGGGGGGAGGAAGCTGTTGCTGTGTGTGTGTGTGTGTGTGTGTGTGTGTGTGTGTGTGCAGTGCACCATATCCAGGCCCTCAGCTAGTCACCCTGTTCATTGTGTAGCAGGCAGGCCAGGTATGTTTTCATCAGGTAGGAGTGGCTGCTCCTTAGTCCCCTCCTCTGGCCCAGAGCTCTGCTTCTCTGAGTGTGAGTGTGGGGTGGTCCCCAGGAGGTCCTCCGGTGGCAAGGTGCGGAGGAGCGCAGAGAGGGAGGAGGTAGAAGCGGCTCTGTTGCTGTGCATTCCTGTCCTTGTCCTTCCCTCCCCCTCTGCCTACCTCTGTCCCCGCCTGCCTAGGCTCTGCTGTCTGAACCTTCAGCCCGATTCGCTGTCCAGTCCCCAATAGGAGGAGCAGGAGGTGCATGACATCACTGGCACTGAGTGCCATTGGCTGAGCAGCCCCTACGGGCAGGACACTGTCTCCAGTGGCCACAAAGTTAACTCTTCCCTGGGCCGAAGCTATGTGGCCTTTGGGGACAAACTTGCGGGCATTGGGCATTTCTACATGGCCTTGGCTAGCCAGTGCCCTTTGATAACAGGGGATCCCAGGCCCCTTTTACAAAGCATTGAAAAAAAAAGTCAACAGGGTCTGTTAAGTTTCCTGTGTATGAGGTATTCTTAGCCAGGTGCTGGTGGTTCACACCTGTAATCCTACAGAAGCCTGAGATCTGAGGATCTCAGTTCAAAGCCACTCCAGGCAGGGAAAGTCTTTGAGACTTAGCTCCAGTTAATCACAAAAAAGAATGAAGAGGACCAGAAGTGGAAGTGTGCTTAAGTTGTAGAGCACCAGCCTTGAATGAATAAGCTAAGAGACAGCACCCAGTCTCCAAGTTCAAGTCCAAATTCTCTCACTGTTTCTGTGTGTCTGTCTCTCCCTCTCTCTCCCTCCTTCCCCTTCTTCCCCCCCCCCTCACATACACACACTGTGTATGTGGTCCCTCCTAGCATGGAAGACCTGTCTGAAGAGCGATTCTGTCATTCTTAGAGAAACAAAGTAAGAGATTCTGTGGAGTGTACTGGCTCCAGGGCACACACTCCAGGGAGGCTGCCCCCCCCCTGTTGTGCTCAGGTGGCTGGCCTGTCAGTACCAATGCCTGTGACCCTCTGTGTCTGCAATGAGTCCCTTGGATTCATACAAACTGGTCACAGAAAGAACTTGAGTTCATCTCTGTCTCAGTCCTGGGATTCTCCCAGATGCAAACTATCAGAAGACCCAATAGGAAGCCCTGGGCATGTGTGGGAGACGGAGGCGTTTCTGTGACCCTTCCTAATGCCACCAGGAGCTAAGCTGGCCACAGGCGTGCCTGATGACCGCTCTGAGCAGGCTGGCACCTGAGAAGACCTCCACTGGGCCTTTCCAGTAGGAGAGTGTCCCATGACCACAGGTCTTCACTATTGTTTGGATGCCAGATTTTAAATTCCCAGTCCCCCTCCCCCTTGGGGTTTTTGTGGGGGGGGCTGGATGTGAGGTTTGAACTCAGGCCCTGGGTACTGTCACTGAGCGACTTTTGCTCAAGACGAGCGCTCTACCACTTTGAGCCACAGCACCATTTCCGGTTTTCTGGTGGTTAACTGGAGAGAAGAGTCTGGACTTTTGTGCCCAGGCTGGCTTTGAACCATGATCCTCAGATCTCAGTCTCTTGAATACCGAGGGTTATAGGCATGAGGTTACAGCCACTGGTGCCTGGCCCAGCTCCCCCTTTTATGAGAGACTTAGGATAACTTCTGTAGCCATTTTATCTTTTTTTTTTTTTTTTTACTATTAGGTTTTTGGCAGTACAGAGGTTTGAACTCAGGGCCATGTGCACTCACTTGCCTTTCTTCTTCACAACTGGTGTTCTACCCCTCAAGCCATGCCTCTAGCCCTGCTTTTAGCTGGTTATTTTGGAGACAGAGTTTCCTGGATTCTCCTGCCCCAGACTCTGAACCTGGATCCCCAAATCTCAACCTCCTGAGGAGTTAGGATTATAGACATGAATCACTGGCTCTGAGTCCCATTTTGTTTCTTGTGCACTGGGGTTTATAACAAAGTGCCTTGAGGTTCGGAGGAAGGCAGAGTAGCTGCTTACTTATTTTATGCTTGGTTAGTGCTTTCTTTTTCCCGTTTCTCTCTTTGAATTCTCAGCCACCTCAGAGGTTTGGCAGGATATGTGTTCTTCAGTCACTTGTTAGGAGTTGAGAAAACTAAGGAACAGGACAAATTTTTAATTTTTATTTATGTTGGTCCGTGGGGCTTGAACTCTGGGCCTGGGCGCTGTTCCTCAGCTCTTCAGCTCAAGGCCAGTGCTTTACCACTCGGGCCACAGCACCACTTCTGGTTTTCTGAGTGGTTTATTGGAGGTAAGAGTTTCATGGACTTTCCTGCCTGGGCTGGTTTTGAACTGTGATCCTCAGATCTCCTGAGTAGCTGGGATGACAGGTGTGAGCCACCGGTGCCTAGTGGAACAGGACAATTTAATGTGAGGTCCCCTAACTTCTAGGTAGCCCAGCTCTTCTACATAAAATTCGGTAACCCTCCATGGTAGGAGAGGAAAGCCCGATTGAGGCACCATCTGCCAGGCCTGGCTTGATGTAGCTCAGCCAGAAGGAAGCAGTTGTCTGTTCCTGCAAAAATTGGTTTGACAGAGAGGGTCAGAGTACAGATGGGCAGCTGCCACAGAGGGATGGCTGGGTGAGATGTTTGCTCTCCAACCCACAGTCATGAATTCTAATGGCTTCTTACATGATCCTAAAGCGTGAGGAGGAAGAAGACAGCAGAAATACAGGACGTTCCATCCTCTAATTCCAGTGCTTTCCTCTATCTAGGGAAAAAGAGCCTTTGAAGTAAGTCCGAAGCTCTTCAGGAGGGGCTCAACTCCAGGACCTAGGATTAGCTGGTATGGGCAGGTAGCGCGGGGCCGGAAGCCCCAGAGGGCAGAGGGCAGGGCTGGGGGGGGCACAGAAGAAATGGGCAAGGCCCAGCCCTGGGCATGGGGGAGAGATTAGGCCTTCAGCTCTTGTGGTCAGGGTGGAGGCTGAGTCTGAGACTGGACTCATTCATTGGGCTCCTGTCTTAAGCTTCCTACAGTCTAGGCCACAGGGCAAAGTGTGGTCCTGACACACTTTCGAGACTTGGGCATGAGGTGGTGGTTGTGCTGGGGTAGTGCTGGAGATTCTAAGGGGGAGCTCTGATGTCCCATTTTTTTTTTCTTTGGTCAGTTGTGGGGCCTGAACTCTGGGCCTGAGCGCTGTCCCTCAGCTCTTCAGCTGAGTGCTAGCACTCTACCACTTGAGCCATGGCGCCACTTCTGGCCTTTTCTGCTTATGTGGTGCTGAGGAATCGAACCCAGGGCCTCATGCATGCAAGGCAAGAGCTCTACCACTGAGCCACCTTCCCATTTTTAGAACATGGGAGCAAGTGCCATCTATTTTGGCTTTGTTTCAGCTCAAGTCCTGCTTCAAGGCCCAGGAGGACATCACAGGGCCGGAAGCAGCAGCCAGAAGAATGGGAGAAGCCGTAGTTGAGAAGGTAGGGGCTTTCCCTTCAGCCTCAGGATGGGCCCTGGCTGTGGGGTTCCTGAGCAAAGCCTGGCTGGGGGGAACAGGAAGAGCAGGAGTGCTCAGCTCAGTGCTCCTGGGTTTCTTCCCCACAGTCCTGTGCCGCCTCTGAGGGACTGCAGAGCTACAGGAGGTACACAGAGAGGCTTAACTCCAGGCTTAACTCCAGGGCAGCCTAGCAGACTCCTGGTCAAGGACACCAATTGGTTTCCATTCGTTCTGGAATTCAATCCTTCCCTGTAACCCATGGAGACTGGTAATACCCACATTTCATTTTATTCTTGTGTCTGTGTGCTGGTCTGGTACTCAGGACCTGGACACTGTCCCTTTCCTTTGTCACTTAAGGCTGGTGCCACAGCTTCCCTTCTGGCTTTTTGGTGGTTAACTGGAGAAAAGTGTCTCACAGACTTTTCCTGCCTGGGCTGGCTTTGCAGGTTAATCCTCAGATCCTAGCTTCCTGAGTGAGCCAGCTAGGATTTACGGGCACAAGCCACTTGTACCTGGCCATATTCCCCACATCGCAGGAATGAGAAAGCAGATATGCTAAATGACTTGCTAGCATCACCTACCTATGAAGTGGGGAGCCCAAGGCTCACCCTGTGGCTCTACAGCCTAGCCCAACTTGCAATGGCAGGATGAAAAAGGGCTTCTATGGACCCAGCCCCCTGTGCTAGCCAGCTTCGGAACTATCCTGTGTCCTCTGGGCCTGTGCTGGTGTTTGCACTCCGTTCTTTTTTGTTGCTGTTGTTGATTGTGAGGCTTGAACTCTGGGCCTGGGCGCTGTCCCCCAGCTCTTTATCTCAAGGCGAGCACTCTACCACTTGAGCTACAGTGCCACTTCTGGTTTTCTGAGTGGTTTATTGGAGATAAGAGTCTCACGGATGTTCCTGCCTGGGCTGGCTTTGAACCTCGATCCTCAGATCTCAACCTCCTGAGTAGCTAGATGACAGGCGTGAGCCACCGGCGCCCGGCTTGCACTCAGTTCTTATGGTATTTGCCTCTCTCAGTCCCCAGGAGTCCCCCTGTTATGGGTAGCTTTGTTGAAATTACCAGTAAGAAAGATCACTGGTGTCTGTGACATGTCTGCCTGCAGCTGGAGGAGAGGAGCCACCAGCTCATTCTCCCAGTGTGTGTGTGTGTGTGTGTGCGTGTGTGTTCTAAGTGGGCAGTCGTGTGTGGGAAGAGCCTGACACTTGTTTTGTCAGTGAAGTGGCGCCTCCTTTGCCCCCAGCTGCTCTGCCATTTCTCTTTACACTCCTCCTGGATCCTGAGCAGAGATAAAAGCAGATTTCCGTTTCTGCTCCCAGATCCAGGCACAGACCCTGCAGGCAGCTGCTCCCAACTGTCTCCCAGTCATTAATCTTCACCCCCCCTCCACTTGTCTCTCCCCCCCCACCCCGCCCCACTGCTGGCCCAGCAGTGTGGGCTCTGCCTGGCTCGCTCATGCCCATGGAGCTGTAGTCAGCAGCGCCCTGGTGCCCCTCCACATCCAAGGTGCAGGGAGAAGAGCTCAGGGGGAGGAGGCCACAGCCTGCCGAGGGAGGGAGCCTCTCCTCTCAAAGTAGGCCAGGGTGGAGGCAGGGGAAGGTCGTGCCAGGGGAAGGAATCCACCAGAGCCGAGCACCCCCCTGAGCTCTTCCATGAGAGCCCTGGCCACCTGCCTGGCTCCTGTCAGCCTGTCTTTGTCCGGGGACTGAGCTGTCAGGCAAGGGCCAGAGGTGGGACCCTGCTTTGCGTTCATTCTGTCATCTACTTGCCACGTTCCTGTGATCCCATCCTAGCCCCCTCCACTTTCAGAGTTGCCCGCCTCCTTCTTCTAATGGCGGGAGGAACTGTCAGGCCAAGGTGGTAGAGCAGAGGTTCCCAGCCCGGAGGCCCTCCCCTCGGACAGCACCCACACCGGGAGAAAGGGGCTCCTCCCTACAGTCATTCCAGATGAAGGGAGGAAAGGGGCTGCTGCTGTAGTGGAAGTTAGGGGTGAGGGGGGTGGGGATGACTGCCCGGGCTTGAGGGTTGCCTGGGCTTTGGCAGCTGGGGTGCCATGTGGGCTGGGGGGGACTTTCTCCCCCCTCCCCAAGGAGCAGGCTGGCTTTGGAGGGAGCAGATTGTGTTTACGCCTCCCCCCCACACCCAGCCCACGCTCGGCTGATTCCCAGGGCCTCTCCCACCCCTGGGCTCTCTGCAGAATCTGCACACTTGCAGCTTTGCGGAGAATGCTTCGCCTCTCCAAGACCCAAGCGCCCTTCCTTGGCCACTAGCTCCCACCCATCACAGCGGAAAGGGGGGGCTGTGAGGCTGGGCTTAGAGGCATCTTTTCAGGGGGGTCACTGAGATCCTGGCATGTCTTCATAGAGAGGCCGAGTCCTTTCCCTTGCCATTTTGTTTTCCACCCAAAAGAGTCACTCCTTACAAGTGGAGCGGAGACACCAGGGACCTGGCAGAGGCGGCGGGGCAGCTGCAGGGGGGGAGGGTGAAGAGCGGGGGGCCGCTGGTCCAGGCGCAGGCTCTTTTGAAATCACAATGGAAGATCAGAGCTCCTCCTCTGAATCTTTACCCCACTGCCGCCTCCGTGACCTTGTGGAGGGTCACGTCCCTAAGGCACGCCTGTGCGTCTCAGTTTTCCTACCTGTAAGGTGGAGGGAGACAGGGTTGAGGCAGAGGCATGGTGAGGGTGGGTCCTGTGTGGCCAGTGTGAGTGCCCTGGGGCGTGCTCCATCCACTCCACATGAGCTAGAGGGCCCGGTGGGAAACGCAGGCGACTGCGCAATGGCCGAGTCAGGCCAGGTGGAGTGCTCCCCCTTCACCTAAGGTCCTCCCTGCCTCATCTTCCCACGGACACCGTAGAGGACAGATCTGAACCAAATGAGGGCAGAAGGCCAGCACTGCCCGACTGGGGGAGACCGACTACCCAGAGAGGTCAGAGAGGACCAGCCGGGCCTCTCCAGATGCCCACACAGTGTGTGGGTTTCGAGGAGGGTCTGGGCCTGGACACCTCAGTGAATCTAAGCTGAAGAAGCAGCCAGGCGCTGGCTGCCTGGCTGCTTCCCCCTCATCTGAATGCTAATCCTAGGCTGGGGAGAGGAGAGGTTGAGTGACAGGGAAAAGGCTGCTGAGCTGCGAGGCGGCCAGGGGCGGCTGCGGGAGCAGGAGGTGCTGCTGTCTGCTGCCCCTGTGGCTGACACTCGGATGGCTGCCAGTCTCTCCTGGAGACTGGAACATGACCAGAGAACTAATGAGGTGGCCGGGAGCAGCAAGGGGGTGCCCATAGCAGCTGCTACAGCCGCTGTGGTCCTGCACCCCCCACCCCTAGGGACAGATGTGGCTCTGGGGGAGTGTGTGTCCTCCCCCCAAATGCGTGGTGTGCACATGTGCAGAGAACCGTCCCAGGAGGGGGGTCCAATTTGTGGCAGCCAAGGGCAGTGTACCCCACTTTCAGGCCCTCTGTGGGGGGTTGGGGGAGGGCTTACTGCTAGGAAAAAGCCAAAGCCTTGAGCTAGAGTCAAGGAGAGCTTCCTTCTGAGCCACAGGGAGAATGGCAAAGTGGTGCTACTGAGGCTGACAGGCATCCAATGATAATGACATTAATAATACTATTAATAAAAGCTAATCTGTACCAAACACTTATGTGCTAGGCACAGTGCCCGGCGCCTTATTTATAAGCACTGCCTCGTTCATGAGGCAAGAACTGTCCTTATCCTCATTTACCCAACAAAGCAAGAGAGGTTCAGGGACTTGTTCAAGGGCACTCACAGCTGGGGCGAAGCCAGGGCCTGTGCCCAGGGAAATCTGATTCCCTGAGGCTGGGATCAGTGGCTGTCAGGAAATTCAAGGTGTGAGCTACCGACCCGGGCACAGGAGCGGAGCTGTGCGCCTGTGCTGGCCCCGGCTCTGAGGCTAGCCTGAGGCGAGCTATGCCCGCTGTTCTCTTCAGGGACGCTCTGTCAAGGGCAGACCCGATTCTAGGCCCTGAAAGCCAGTGAACAGAGCTGCCTCCTTGCGTGCGTCAGTGCCACTCAGGGAGGAAGTGTCGGCCCGGGGCAGGGGTGACAGAGCAAGGCTTGCTCTCTGTCGTGGCCGCTGTCGCTCTGCCGCCTCCTTCAGTCCGGGGCAGGACCCTGGGGCGTGGAAAGGCCAGCAGCCAGCTGGAGAGGAGGAAGGCTACCCCCGTGTGTGTGTGTTTGCAGAGGGGGGAGGAGGGATCCAGAGGGATCCATGGCTAGCAATTAGTGCCGCTATGCCAGGACCACAGACCCTCTTGGTAAAGGATACAGGCGCCCCCTAGTGGGAATTAAGATCAGAAAGTAGCTTTAAAAAATTGAAGAA